TGAGAATCCAGAGGGGCTCAGGTACAAAAATACTCTGTGCAGCAAGGGGGAGAGTGGGGGGACACGACCCCCACGGCATTAGTGGGGCTCAGCTTCCCACGGGCAATCCTGGCTCCAACGCAGTCCCTGCGGAGCACAATCAGGACAACACAAAATCCCAAACAAAGCAACAACCTGCGAGGTAAAAACCCCAACTTGGACATCCTGGAGAGGAGCGATGCGGCCCCGGACACGCGGGGTGGGTGATGCCGTGTGGAGAGCTGTGATCCCACGACGGATCCCATGGGATGTGGCCGGTGTGGAGCAGAGCTGCATCACACCAGCTCGTCCAGGATTGTGCCGATGCCAGCACGGGGCTGTGCAGGACCTGCCATGGGCTTGTTGCACATGGGGCACACACAGCGAACCTCCAGCCACTTCACCAGGCACCTGCAGGCAGGAATGTGGCAGGATCCCCATCCCCATCCTGCCAGAGAATTCCCTCCCCCTGCAGCCCTCGCTACTCACTTTCTGTGGAAGGCATGCTGGCAAGGCAGCACCCCCAGCTCCTCCTTCACCCTGAAATCCTCCAGGCAGACGGCACAGGTCTGCTGTGGGAGGTGAGACAAGGGGGAGGACGGGTGTGAACATGGGACCCATCAGAGGTGCCACGGCTGGGGAAATCCCAGGGATTTCCAGCTGGGAGTGCAGCTCAGTTCCCAAACGCCTCCAGGGAGGGATTTCCCTCCCAGTCCCCGCACATCCCCATCCGCATCCCCATCCCATCCCACACATCCCCACACATCCCCATCCCAGCCTGGCTCTGCTCCTGAGCTGCCCTCACCCTCCCACCCCCCCTGGGGCAGAGGGGACGTGTCCCAGAGCGTTGTCCCTGTTAACCCCAACTCCACCCCGAGCCAGGGGTGTCCCTGCTCACCCCGTGCACGTTCAGCCTCCGGGCATCACCTTTCAGAACCACCTGAGGGAGGAAAGGAGGGAGAGAATTTGACATCAGGAAGGACCTTGTCCCAAGAGG